AAAAGCCTGTCTATACTCACAGTTCCGGCACAGCATGTTGCAATAGACAGTGTCTAGCTACGCATCAATACTGCATCTTGTCTTCTCCGTGCCGACTAAAAAGTTTAGTATCTTTGTAATTAATGGGATTAGTTGATTGACTGGTTAAGCTTAGTGCAATCTAACTGAGGAAGAAAGAGGGCAAATTATCCCAGCACGAGCGATAGTTTGTAGAATGAAATAGACACATCTGCGAATCTCACAGAGTAAACTCTTTTTATAAAAATTGTGTGATATCTAAGGCTGTTAATCTCTAATTAGAATGGATGATAATTTCTTCGTCATCATTATGATGGTCATAACAGCAAGGATGAGAATACCACTCTGACCGAGATGTGTTTTAATAACAATAATAATAATAATAATACCTGTCTATATTTATGTATAGTATTTACATTATTCGGACTATTGTCCTCATCTTTGTCGCCATATTTATTACAACGTTTCGGTCGTTGTACGCTCCGGCCTTCTTCAGGTGGTTAGCATGTAGAACTGAACCCTTTATTTCGCTCACTGGGGTAGACAGTTCTAGTTCCACGTGCCATGATTAATAATAATGACTCTCCACAATTTCCTATCACGTGCGGGTCTCCACGGTTTTTCTCCCTTTGCTTAATCACACCTGCCCGTGTTCTGCCATCCATGCGCACGCCCTCGTCAGTCATGTGCCTGCTTTATTCCATTTTGGCATACGACCGACTTCAATATATTCGAGCCACTTCTATATGTCGCGTCCCAATACTGATTCTCCACAATTTCCTATCACGTGCGGCTCTCATCGATTTTTCTCCCTTTCTACCTACACAAACCCGTGTTCTGCGATATCATTCGCACACACTCGTCAGACACGCAGCTGCTTGTGTTGCATAGCCCCTTCGCACTGGTAGTAGTCTTAGGGCGACGGTCTTGATTAACTTATACGTTGTATGCTTCTCTGTCATCTTCCGACCGGGTGGTCGCTGGTTGTTCTTTTAGTTCTATCCACGAAATTCGACGCGTAAAACTTAACTCGCTGAAAACACTTTCTAACTCTAACATTCCCATGTTCGACTCAGCCAATCAAAATTGACATCCCTATTTTGACTACCATGTGACCTTAAATGTCAGGCTCAGAAGGTCTGAGCCAAATACGCTGCCACTAAAAAGTAATAGTCTGAAACTATTATTTAACATAACCATAATAAAAATAATTTATGAATTTTATTCCAAGTACCTTATATTTAACACCTGCTTTGACTTCAATATGCTACGTAAAGGTTAGGTTTTTCAAATGCTACTTCCTTAATATGTGCACAAGGAACTGCAGATGTCTTTTACTGATTTTGAATATCTGTTGCCATTTCCTGTAAGACTTCCTTGTTGATTACTCGTTCAGTTAATTGCTTTAACCATTTCACCCCAGCAAGCGTGACAAAGATACTAGGAAGCAGGACGTTACAGGCTAAGTGTTACCCTAGTGATAGAAGGACAGAAAAATATTCTCTTTAGTGATTGAATGAGATCAGTTAATACTTCTTTTATACATATATATATATATATATATATATATATATATATATATATATATATGTAAAGTTTTTGTTTTGTTATTGGCTTATCAATAAAGTACATACCCCTTTTTTGTTCTTGTCTTATTTATTTATTTTTATTTATTTATTTTTGTCACGTGGTTATGTTTTTATTTGGTTTTATCAATAAATTCTGTTCCGTTTTTTTTTTAAGCCAGTTTTACCCTGAAGATCATTTTAGATGAAACCTAGATAGGTTTTCCTGGCTTCTTAGGATTATTTTAGTTTATCACTCTACTTAGCATATTGAGCACTCTACATTTTTGTCTTTTTACTCATTTAGTTTTTTTTTTCTTTGTACTTGGAGCTTAACACTTGACGATTGGTTTCGTCTTATTTAATGTTCTTGGTTCTTTCATTTTCATTTCCAATTTTTTCCTCGGGTACCAATTTGTTCTACTGCAAGTTGAGTTATCCGGGATTTTCCAAATGAGTACTACCATTTTATATATATATATATATATATATATATATATATATATATATATATATATATATATATAAAAGAACAGTCAGATTAATAATCCGGAATCATAGTATTTATATTTAATAATGTTTTTTCATTATGACACGGATATTTCTATGTTTCGGAAGCTTAAATTTTATACATTTTCAAGCGATGTTCAGTAACTTTTGAAGAAAATGATTTACTCTTTATTTTTTAAACGGGAAAGACATTATATTACTTAAACTCTTCGATATAATAAAATTGGCCTTCTTAATCTTTTTTTATATGTGGATGAGGTAATTATGCTTGTATTTTTTACTAGTGTGGTTTGGATGGATTCTACTATTTTTTCTGTGTTTAAATGAGCTCTGACACTGCAAAAGTGGGTAACTGAATTTAGAAGGAAAAGGGAGGTTTATGAAGATGATTCTAGATATTGGTGTTCTGCACCTACCACCTCCAGGGAAAATATTAATTCTGTTCATCACATGGTGATGGATGACAGGCAAGTGACTATAAATCAATTAACCAATGTTCTTAGAATATCCTGTGATAGAGCTGAGAATATTCTGCACAATGAACGCAGTTTTACTAAAGTCTTTTGCTCGATGAGTGCCACTCTTTCTAACACATGATCGAACCAGGATCACGGGAAAACACAACATTGTTTGAGACATATTCATTTTTGCTTCCTTACATGTTTACTAAACCAGGATGAGTATTGTATTCATTGCTTTAAGCTAGGGAGCATGAGACAGTCTCTGGTCCAAAGAAAGTCTCATCTGCTTCGAAGAAGGCTAAGATTGCTTAATCTGAAGGGAAGCTTACGGCTTCCGTTTTTCAGGATGCAAAACGCATTGTTTTTATTGACTAACTTTAAAACGGCCACACCATATATAGAGAGCAATATGTCAGAGAGTAATTTGCTGACGCAGTTGCAAAAGGCTTGTAATTTATGTATGAATATGTATAGGTACCTATGTATATCGCTACATGCGTGTCTATGTGTGTAATTGCGCATGTAAATGAACGTATGTATATATGGGATTTGCATGAGTATGTATGTGATATATATATATATATATATATAAGAAGAACACGAAACGCCTATCGAATGGTGTTTTATTTTATCAGGGTGATACTCCAGCATAAGTCTTTGATTACCATAACATCTGTAGGTGACTGGCATTGAACCGTTCGGTCACCCTCCTTATTCTCGTAGTTTTACTATCATCTGTTTCCCAACATGAAGAATATTTGGCTTCGAACAAATATCGCTGTGATGCTGACGTCACATATAGTGTTGACTTTTTTTGAGTAACAGGATGAACGGCCTTCTCATAAAAGTCAGATGTCAGTTTACTTGGAAAGCAACAACGCAATTATCAAAAAAGAAGAATTGAAATTATTGCATGCACGATTTCACAGTTCTAGCATAACACAGTCACAATCAGTCTATAAACTTTTCAGCCCACCCTCGTAAAGTATGCATGTGCTGAAACGTCGTAATAACAAAATAAACATTAAGAGGACATGATCAAATAATGAAAAGTATTTGAGATCATCAGACAACAAACAACGATTTCGTCTTTCAAAATATATTGATTACTGAGAACAGAAAGCATTTAATCGATTTCCCGGGAAATATCTGTGGGGAAACAATATTTTGCATATCGATCACAAGAAACTGATTAAATTTTGTAACAAGG